ATAGGAAACCAAATGAGTATTCTAAAATTCTGCCAAGACATAGGTCAAGATAGCTGGAGAACTCCATAGATTTAAAGAGTATGACACTTCTCAATGATTATTTTACAAGCACACACACATTTCTCCACATAGAAAGCAATAAATAAATCGAGCTAAGTATTTCACATGCTTTTAAAAATGCTTTACATTTTCTAATAACATAATGGTCACCGAAAACCTGAGATGGTATTTATTATTACATAGTTACCAAGAAAGAATTGACCTATTCAAAGCAATAAAAATATATAAAAAATTAAACTATACTTATTATTTAATAGCATATACTAAATAAAAAGAAAGAGTACAAAATATGGAAATAATCTGTAAGAATTATAATGCAATGTGATGGTTCAATACTACAAAAATACCAGCATCCTCTTTCAGAAGATATCCAGTCCAGAGAACTAAAACTAAAACTATTTATGATATACCATGGACTGAATGTATAACTCAAAATATGTGAACACATAACCCAAATAAAACTGGCTTAAACAGTGATGTTGACATCATCAGAAAATGCTCCCAAATACTCTTCTCACATTTCTATTTTGTTCTGTGCAAATATCACACTAAGTACAATGCAGGTAATAAACTGAATTACCATTACATCAAAATTGAGAAATAACCTGATCAGAAATTTTAACTTTGATATTCACACCCTCATTTGGAAACTGGGTTTTCCCCATGCTGTAATTAATGAACCATGAAACGAATAGACTCACTAGACCTTATAATTCTGCTTCAAACATGCTTCACAGTTTTTTTATGTCTCAATTAATATTTGCTTTAATAAAAATATTAGCTGATACAGAACTTTTGATGTATTTCTTTAAAAAGTAAAGGACTTTTTTATTAAGAGTATTAAAAAATATTAAATCAAATGCACCTACTACAAATAGAGCTATTATTTCATTTCATTTTATAAGACATGATAAGTTCAATAAAATAAAAGTAAGATTTCAAAACAAGCCACAAGGTAAAAAAATCACCACCAGCAACCGAGTAAACGAATAAAGGGAAAATAGGATTACGTTTATTGGCTACTATATCAATTTAACTTCTCATAAAATCCCCCTGATCCATTAAATAACTTCAGAACTGAAGTATGCATATGCTCTCCTCCAGGAGTTGTAAAACAAATTAGATACAATTACAATACAATACAAATTTTAAAGAAACAAGCTAGTTACCCTAGAAGAATTCTCATTCTATATTTTATCATTTAAATTAGGCCAGATTTTTCCCTAATGTATCAAATGAGCCACATGGCATAATTATAGATTTTCCTAGTATATTTTCAATAGAGGGGAAAAATTAGTTGATATGAATAAATTCTGGAAAGCCACAGTAACTACACCTCCCCAAATGAATACAACAAACATCTGTTGCAAGAATTGCTTGGCTTTCAGACAGTGTGCGTATAAAGGGTTTTCTTTTCCTCACTATTTTGTTTTCTTTCTTTTTTTTTTTAAAAAAAGGCTTATTTGTTTTGCTTTAAAAAGAAAAAAAAAAAAAGGAAAGAATACATGTTTCTCCAATCAATTCTCAAAATAGAAAATCCTAAAATTCTAGTAAGTTAAAACACAAGTCATTACTAGGTATATTACACAAAGGGAAACTATGTGATATACAAGATTCCACTTGCTTCTGAAAGGGTAATAAAATAATTGGGCATGTTCCTTTCTGTCTGTGAGTCTGTGGGTTATACTGCAATTTTAGCCATTGTCTTCTTTCTGAGCTAAGTGCTATATACAGACAGCAGCCCTCACAGCACAAGACAGAACTAAATCTTTAACTCCCTGGTGATTTTTATTCCATTGATAATTCAGCTTTCTCCACCGAGTCCCACTGGTTTTTGAACCACTTTCTAAGAATATCAATATATGCTCATGAAACAAGTGAATGCTTAAAAGTTTTACTCCACTGACAGGCTAAACAATGGCCCTCTTTCTGCAAAAGCATAAAATGCAATAATTTTCAACAAGACATGAGGAAGTATTGCTGTTTTTATGATTTACTGTCTTTTTATGATTTACTGTCTTTTTATGGTTTTCAATTTTTAATATATTTTTATTGTAAAGGTACGTATAGAAGGGTTAGTTACATGAGTATGGTAATGAGCACATTTCCTATCAAGCATTGTTACTCACTCCTTTGTCTTTCCTTCCACTCCTCACCACCCCAACTCCTCCCTCCTCTCCTCCAAGTTGTAAAGTTCGTTTTCAACACAGTGTCTTGTACATCTCATTGTTACAATGGGTCAACCTGTATCCTTGTTTCAGCATTTTGTTATTTCCCTTCCCCTCTCCAAATTAGAAAAATGTAGGTCTTTTCTTAACTGAAGTAAAGAGTTGTTTGGTGCTTTTTATTAATCTAAAGACATTTTCTTGGATTTCTAAAGAACAGAATTTCGTCTAAAACTTACATGTATTTTGCAGAACAAAACACTGTCTTTTGCAAAGTAGACAATACCACAGAGCATATACAAATTAGAGACTGCTTATAAAGTAATAGGCAGATCACTTAATACCTTATGTAGGAAAAAAATCAACAAAATAACCATATCTAAATATATACTAAGTAACATATGACCACTTATTTTTCAATTTTCTACCTAAGTATGCTCTCGTCCAGTTTGAGATTATTGTTCACTATAACATTAAAGATTCAGTTTCACAACTCTACTTTTATGTGAACAACAAAGTATTGATTTATTTCCTAAAACATTCCTGAGACTAGTTCAAGGCTTTATATAAACACATAAATACCAAGAAGCTTCTTGTCATCAAGAAATAAGAAAGATAGGAGGCTTCCTTCTCTTTTTAGGCCAAACCCAAAGTAAATGCGTGCACTTCATTATGTTTCCACAAACTTGAAGATCTGTCCTGGAATTTGTCCATCCTAATCCAGTACTCCAAAATAGTTTGCAAACACACAGCTGTGTACAGTATATATTATATATCCATAGAAAAATATACTTATATATCCATAAGAAAGGAATTCTATTATACTAATTCACTATAAGCAAAAATTTTAAAGAAAATTAATTGAAAATTGATACAGAGGAAAAAGCTAAGCAAAATCTCACAGACTTTCATATGCTTCAATACAAACAAGTTTACAATAATTTCCAAGCCATGCCTAAGATTACTCTACATTTATAGCCATCTGTCTTACTAAAAGGTTAATCAGGAAAAGGGGGAAAAAGATAATTTGCTCCCTCCCTAGATAATTTGCTCCCTCCCTAGGAGAGATAGACAGCTAACGCACACAAAGAATACTCGGGAGCAATTAATTGCTAGAAGCTTTCTTTATTCAATGTGACAGTCTTTCATTCCTATAGAGGGTTACCGTGAGTCATATATTAGGTTTAAATAACACATTTGTCTCAATTATATGATGTCTAAGGAAAACAGATCGTCTCTTGAAAAGCACAAAGCAAAGAAAAATCTTGTCAGATATTACATCTCACTTGAATCAAGTGATCTGAGCTATAACTGTACTTGTAACATGTCTATCTCATTTGTGACACTAATATATTTTATCTAGTTTGAAAATACATTAAATTGTCTGCCTCTGGTCTGTAATATACACCTAAACCATCCACAATAAGTATCAGAGCAACAATGTATTTCAGTGAAGCACTTTCTAATAATAATCTATGGATAGAAAAATCTGACGGTAAGAAGTTACAATGTTCTTAAGAACATATCAGGATGGCAGCATAGTTAAAATTCAGAATATCTGTACAGTAAAAAAAAAATCTAAGTAGAATTTTATAGCTATTTTCTACTTTAATTGCTATTATCAATGTTCTCCAAAATCAACAAAGGAAGAAGACATTAAATACTTAATGCTGAATGAGGCAAGTGAAGGTACTTTGAGCTCTGAGTCTGCTCTGAACTTTGTCTGCTAAATAATAAATCTTTGCCTTCTTTACTACTTTTCTAAAACAAATGAAAATGATCTATATTTAGTGCATTAAAGTTCCAAGAAAATTACCTAAGTGAATCCCACTCACTTATAGTAATTTGCATTATTCCAACTTTCTAAGTAAGGAGCCAGACAAAAGAACAAAGCTATTTACCATGGGTCACACACTAAATGCAAGAGAGGTCTGCTTAAATCACGTTATGTTCTTGATTCCTTATTTTTTTCCAACTAAGGCACAATGTTATTCCTATTAATCATCTTAATTCCAAAGCCATTTGAAGCAGCATACAATTTTCGAAGGAGAGAGGAAAATATATCCTGAACATTACAGGTGTAAAAGAATATACCAGGAGTTTTTATTTCACTGTACTTAGGTTATAATTTAGTATAATTTAAGTTTTAAAAACTCTTCACATATCTTATTACTTTAGTACCATAAATCAAAAGCTAGACTGAGTGAGACACTAATTGTCTGCCCAGAATAGTCTCATACTTTTATAGGAGAAATTCAAAGTAAGAAATGAAATTAGAGGAGTGAGTCCATATTAAAAGGTATTTTTGGTGGTATAAAAACTTGAAAAATAAGATACCAATTCTAAGCCTGGGTGGCTACAGAATGTAACCCATTGCTCCTAGTCAACAACAGGATGATAAGAACATGGCAGGTGAGGGCAAGTGACTGAACAGTCACTTGCATTTTACCAAAATGCAAGATACATTCTTTCACAAGCTGGAAGAGAATAAACCAAGTCAGGTTACTAAAATGTTAAGTAACTTGGCCTTTATCCCTTCAAAATTGATGAGAAAAAATATCCAGATATGTCTTCCAACTTCTGACCAAAATAATCTGTGTTCTTCAGCAGGTAAAGCTATGTAAACAATTTTATCACATTGATATAGCCTTTCTGTCTCCCAAAGAACCATAGTTTCATCAGTAAACAGTACATCCTAATTTCAATGTAGTAGCCATAGTCCAAGAAACAAAGATAAGCAAAGTGCATTAACCAGATGAAGTGAGATGTACATACCTCTTGTACTGAGCGAGCTGCTGGCTTGTCTTGATGATTGGCCAATATTAAAAAGGGTAAAGTGCATAACTGTGGGTGCTGAAGAGCTGAGTGCAATTCATTCCTAGCAGTTTCTAAATCATCCTCTGAAGAGGCACTGTCCAACACGAATATCACACCTTGAGATCCTTGGTAGTAGCGGCTCCAGTATTTCCGGATATTATCAGCCCCTGTCAAAAGGTAATGCAAGTTCTTTTTAAAAATAACTTTCAGCCAGGCACTGGTGGCTCACACCTGTAATCCTAGCTACTCAGGAGGCTGAGAGCTGAGAATCAACGTTCAAAGCTACCTTGGGCAGGAAAGTCTGTGAGATTCTTCTCCAATGAACCACTAGAAAACTGGAAGTGGCACTGTGGCTCAAAGTGGTAGAGCTCTAGCACTGAGCAAAAAAGCTCAGAGACTGCACCTAGGCCCTGAGTTCAAGCCCCCGACCAGGGCGGGTGGGGTGGGGGAAGCTTTCAGCAACTGAATAATGTTCCCTATAGCAATTCATACTGGAAACAAATGTATTTTTTTTCAAAACTTAAGTGCTAATGCCCTTGGTATGGAAAAGGGTAAGTAAGAATCTAGAAACTAGCCTGATTAATGAGAATGAGGCATTAGAGCCAATGGGTAGATATGGCCTTGAAAGAGAACCCAAAAGTTCTTGATGATTTCCAAAGTATAGCCTTAAAGGGGAGCCCAAAAGTCACTCTTCATGATTTTCACATAAAAACATGAAAGAAACAAAAATTATACTAACTTGTTGACAGTTTCTAATATATATATATATTTTTTTTTTTTTAAACTGGGGAAATTGACACTATCAAGTCTCTTTGTCCTTTAGAGAGTCAACACAATACTAGGCAAGCCTTAGAAGTGCACATTTTATGTAAGAAAAAGAAAGCTCAGAGATGCTAGCTAATAGAGTTGAATAATGTGCTGTCATGGAGGTGCTCATTATATGGTCTGGAAAGCACCTCCCCAAAGTGGAGCAAATAATTTCAAAGCCTAGTGTCAGGAGAGAAGTAGCTGTTATTATTAAGCAATTCCTACATTCCAGGCACAGTGTTTTAGAAAGAATAGCTCATCTAATTAACTCAAATTTTGAAATTTATTTTATGACCCTATCTTGCAGGATATTTACTGTTATGCTATATTAAAATACCTGTGTATGTAAAAATATCAAGTGCACTGGATATTTATTTTAACATTAAATACATAGGCTATGAACAGGGGTGATGTCTGGTAGAATGGGTCTAATCAAGGAAACCGAATAGAAATAAGAAAGGAAATTCAAGCCAGAGATTTTATTTAATATGAAGAATTCACTCATTGCATAAGTGATGATGGAGTTAGAAAATGACAGAGGCACTGAGGTGAGGGACATTTTATGTTAGACTCCTGAGAGGCAGAGCTTGAGATTGCATTCCTTGTACCTGATTACAGATGGAGTGTTGTCAGGAGAAATTAGGAGTCAAAGAAGTAAACTAATCTAGGAAGAATCTTGGAAAAGGTATGATTTCAGAGATCTGGCTTCAGCTTGATCCCAGAAGGAACTCAAGGAACTAGAGTCACCGATGTCCAGATCAGAGGCAAGGGGAAAAGGGCTGGGGAGTTAGAGCCCCATATAGCCATTGGCTCTCACTCCTGGAGAAATGGAGGGAGTTGGGACCTGATGTCATAATCTCCCAGACATATCTGGTGGAGGCAATTACTGTCAGCCAAAAGCAGTCCTCTGGAGAAGGGTACAGGTGTGAGTCATTAGCAGCCAATAACCACAGCAGCTGGGAGATGGATGCACTGGCCCAGTAAAGAAGATCTGGGTAGGCTATATCAACAGCATCTGCTACAAGCTACATCCAGACACGATCCATATGCTAAAGAATCATCCATACATAGGAGCAGTGCTACTAAGTGATAACTGCTTACAACAACATAAACTCTGCATATGAATCGGTACACAACTTTGCTTCATTTTACGAATATAAACGATTTGCATGATATGCAGCACACAATTACACACAGACACACACACACACACACACACACACACACACACACACACAAAATGCATACTGTAAATTCCACAAAACCAATCAATACTTACAGAATACTCCCATTGATTGTTGTATTGATAGATAACCAATGGCTGCAACTGACCAATAAGTATTGCTCTGATATGGCTGGTGGTTGTTCTAAGCATTTTACATGTACTAATACATTTACCCATGACAGTTGGATAAGCTGGGTACTATTATTGATAAACTTTATGGATAAACGTTACTACTATCAGTAAGAAAATCAAGACACAGAAGGATGTAAAGTTGCCCAAGCTTATATTTCCCCCAAATACAGTAAGTCTAATGTGACTGAAATTAAGGCATCACTGGCCAGAGGGGATGGGTTAAATAAAAAATTCTGCTACTACACAAGCTAGGAAAAAGATAGATATATACATATAATATACATATATGTATATGTGTGCATATATACTGTTAGAACAAAAGGTACCTATTGCATATATATACATATATATATTAATGTCCTTAATATCCAGAGTGGTTATGTGTCCATGTACATTTTCAACCAATTAATTCCATGAGTATTTATTAATATTTATTCCCTATACATCACTGAGAGGGTCTTAAGAGATATTTAGAAAGCTACAATCTAGTACAAACTATTCAATCCAATAAAGTAATAATTAACACAAGGTCTGATAATCCACACATCAGATGCCATCCAAGGCATCAAGCATAAACAGAATAATAGAACTGGGACATAATAGAAATCCAACTTATCCAACTCTTTAACAAGGAACTATATTGTTATTTGCCACATTCTGGAATATATAAAGGTGCTTAAAGATAGTGAGACAAAATGACAAGAAAGTCAATAACAGTATAAAAATATAAAATTATACTAAATTAAATATCTTTCCATAACAAATAAAGACTATATTAATAGTGAGAAGACCCTTTAGTCTCTTGCAAAAATGTCTTCTGCCCAGCCGATTGCTGGTAGTTCATGGCTATGAACCCAGCTACTCAAGAGGCTGAGATGTGAAGATTATGATTTGAAGCTAGCCTGTCCAAGAAAGTTCATGAGACTCTAATCTCCAATAAATTACCAAAAGCTGGGAGTGGAGCTGTGTGGCTCAAGTGGAAGAGCACTAGACTTGAGGAAAGGAAGCTCAGGGGTAGTGCCCAGAACCTGAGTGTAAGCCCTAGAACCAGAACAACAACAATAACAACAACAACAATAACAAAAGTATTTTTTTCCAGTCTTTAGCATTTCTAAGGATTTAGCTCTTTGCAAACTCTGAGCTTAGAATACTAAATTCCCATCCTCTTGCCAAAGGCCTTACTCAGTGGCAGCCTAACTCAATCCTGGTGCAAATCAAGTGAATGGTGGTATACAGTTGTTTAGCCTAGCTTAGTGATTGTCATTTAGTTACCAGGTTAAAATGAGAAATACAAGATGTTTTGAGGATTGAGACAAATTAAGAAAGTAAGGTATACCTGTTTGATGAGACATCCCAGTATTCCTAACCTACAAACCAAATCTAAAAGCAGTAACATGCAGGACATGCCATCTGACAGTTCAAGGCTAAACTTATTCAACTGACTGAGAAGTGCATGCTGTGTGTCACTTCAATCGTAATACTTATAGAAAATGGTAAGACATTAAACTCAAACCTGCTCTGAACTGTGTACACTTCGATTTTTTAAAATTTTCTTCAAGTAGTTGTGCAAAGAAGTTGCCATTTAATAAAGTGGTTTATAAATACAATGCATCTTGATCAATGTCACCCCTTTCAGCATTCTGGCCCATTCATCCCTTAGGCCTCTCTTCCCTCTCTCTTCTTAATTTTGTAGGATATACATTGAATTCTTGACTGTGCTCTCCCCTTCTCTTCTTCATTATCTTAGATTTGAAAACAATAGAAAGTCTCAAAAGCCAAAGAGTTGGGTGGAGGTTTTTGGCCAATATTCTTTATATTTTTTATTATGAAAATACCATACAGAGGAGTTATAATTACATGGGCAAGATAATGAGTACATTTCTTATCAAGCATTGTTGCTTCCTCCTTTGTTTCTCCTTCCTCTCCCTTCCCCTATCCCGTCCTCCCAACACCCATAACACACCCCCCCAAGTTGTAAAGTTTGTTTTTCGACATAACAACTTGTACATCTCATTGTTGCAGTGGGTCCACCTGTATCCCTATTTAAACTATTTGTTTTTTCCCTTCCCCTCCACAAATTATACCAACATCAAACAGAGTGAAAGCAAGGGTTATATCGTGGGGGAGGGACATACAAAGCAACAAGGAAATCATCTTATAAATATGTTAGAAACAATCACATGAAAGTAAAAAAAAATTTGAATACTTATCTTGGGGTTCATTTTACCTAACATCAACATGTCTGACCTTTTCTGCTTGTCTCAGACATATACTAGTTATTACAAATAAAGGAATTGGGCCTGGCTTACTTCACTTAGTATAATTTTTTCCAAGTCTTTCCATTTCCTAACAAATGGGGCAATGTCATTCTTTCTGATGTAGGCATAGAATTCCATTGTGTATATATACCACATTTTCTTGATCCATTCATCTACTGAGGGGCATCTGGGTTGGTTCTATATCTTAGCTATTGTAAATAATGCTGCAATAAACACAGTTGTGCTGGTAGCTTTAGTATGGTCTTGTTTGTGATCATTTGGGTAAATGCCCAAAAGTGGGATTACTGGATCATAGTGAAGCTCTATGTGTAGTCTTCCAATATTCTTATCACTCAAGTCCCAACACCACCTTATTAAAAGCTGGAGAAATCCACTATGATAAAATATTGTGACAAAGGAAATAAAAGAATGTTCTTCCTTATCCCAAAGGCCAGAGGGCAGACAGTAAAGGAATCATGTAAAAAAATAGCTTCTGACTTATATTTAAGATTCCCCTGGAACAGTTTGAAAGATATATAAAAGAAATAGAGATAGAAAAAGGAAGAGAGAAAAGAAAAGAAAGAATACAGAAAGCGGTTTCTAAGCTAGAAAGCACTATGGGAAACAAAATTTTGTACTACTAAAATTCTGGGGCCAGGATAGAACAGACAATGGGGTATATATGGAAGTGAAAACCAAGATTTAGTTTACATAACAGACACATACAAAGGGTAGTTAATCAGCC